TAAAAGACTTATTAAAAGATAAATCTTGAACTCGACCCCAATAAAAATTATGCATAAATGACATGACTTCCCCTTTTATAAACCCCCAAAACTTCTTAAAAAATCCATGTTGAACCCATCCAGCCCTGGAGGTCTTAACCCATCAGACGCCTTAATAGTTAGCCAAACCTCCTCCTCCGAAAATAGGCGTTCAATAAAATGCCTAGATGCAGATTTTAACCTCTTCAGAGGTATTCCGAATCTTTTAAGAGGGACAGTAGACACATCATTATATCCGGAGTGAAAGTAATTAACAAAAGCATTATGCATTCCAACCTGACTTTTGACCACTGAATTCGATACCTTAATTCTGGATATCATATTGATTCTGCCTCGAGAAAAAGCAGAAAGGTGGAAAAATTCGTATTTTTGTCACCTTCTTTAAACTTTTTCAATCTAGATTTTTGCAGCCACTCATGTTCTTCTTTCCTCACCACAACCCACAACCTTGCCTTAAAAGAATAAATCTCATCCTGAATTGTAATGTTGTTACCCTCAACAATAACTCTATTCTTTAAAATATCAATCTGCCTACCAAGCTCTCTCGTCGAATGAGGAAATTTATGTTTTGCTTCTCTATCCCGAACCTTGGTCGCTTCCTTGACCAACTCTAGAATCTGATTTAGACCATTTTCTTTATTGCCTTCACATAATTCTTTAATTTTTACGAAAAGCTCTGAATCATCCGCGCAATGGTTAAACCACTTAAACGGTCGATTGAACTTTTTAACCTTCTTTTCTTTTAAAATAATTGGCATGTGATCGGATAAGCTTCTAGGTAGAGTGATTTGGGTGAGAATGGGGAACAACTTTACTATATCAGTTGAGACCAAGAACTTGTCAAGCCTACTCGCCTCCAAATTCATACCACCCCTGAACCATGTATTCTAACTTCCCACAATTGGAACTTCAACAAGATCCCAAGTAGAGATAAATTCCTCAAACATATTCATGACTGTCTGTTGATCACATACCCCTACTCTTTCATACTTCGCTCTTACAACATTAAAATCACCTCCCACTATAACAGGAGAATTCAAATCAGTGATCACAACATTCAAATTCTCAAAAAAAAAATATTTCCTTTCACCTTGTACATTCGAACCATAAATGTTAACAAAACCTATATCCTTATTGAACCTTACTAATCTACCCTTTATAGCTAAAATTCTCCTCAGCACAATTTGATTGCTCATAGCAAACATATTCTAGTCCCACAAAGAAATAAGACCAACATATGCTCTTTCACCAGGCGAACACAATAGATCCTTAGAAAACTTTCCTTTTAATATTCTTTCTAAGAAACCGCTATCCTCGGATATTTTTGACTCTTGCAACAAGACCACATCAACCTTATTCGACTCAATAACACGAGATTCCTCTCTTATATTTTCTGCTTTCCCCAACCCTCTCACATTCCATGATAAAACTGACATAGACTCTTATATATATATAAAAACAACACACAAAGCTAAATACACCAGAAAATCAAGGATAGGTTCAAGACTTACTCCTCCTCTCGATTGCTTCCATCCTATCAATCGTATCTTCTCTCGGGCCAGAGAATTCCACTCCCAAAGCCTCACCTACTTCTAGCGTCATCTCTGTTTCCTTTCCTGATAACCGATTCCCACCCCGAAGCTCCCTACCCCTATTGCCCTTAATTTTCGAACTAATTGTACCCTTCTCTTCTTCTTGCATTCCCTTTTTGTAAAATTTATTCCTTCTGACAATAGATAATCTCGTGGATACACATTTCTTCGATTGTTTTGATCCCTTCGACTTTAGATTTCGAGATAGTTCTGGAGAGATATTACCCTCCGCTTGATTCTAAATCTGGGGAATCCCCTTCATACCCACTTGAGATACGGTCATCCAAGCTTCTTCCACTATTTTGATAGATGAAACTTCCTTAATTAGCACTTTCTGAAGCCTAGAACCGTATGATATGGATTGGTTCTTCCAACTCTGGGCTTGATATCTATTGATTTCCATAAGTCCAAAGCTCTCATATACATGCTGAAAAGCAGGCCCAATACTAGCCATGATAGGAACATCATGTAATCTCTCTTCTGAGTCACCAAAGTTAACAGTTAAAGTAACAGGGTTGACCTCAACGGCTCCCACTTGTCTCGTACCTTCTTCCAACACACCTTCATCCTTTTCAAATCTCTGACTCACAGACTCGACCTGTTCCATCACCTTCCAACTTTTCACAAACTCAGCCTCTGCAACATTGTCATCTTCGAAAGCCAAATCTTCCGCCTCATCTTACATCGCTGGAAACCACTCTGTACCCCGCCATTGACCCATCTATAAAAGTACGAATATCCTCATGTGGCTCTGTTGATTTTGAAAATATTTCCATTTAATATGATGGAGACTTTATCTGGAATAGAAGACTCAAATTGAACTTCCAACAGAAGCTTCGCAACATCGAACCTCTCCCTGTTTCTGGTTTCGTCATCTATCTTAAAGACTTTCCCCCACGAACTACCTAAGTCTTTGAAGAACTTCACACTCCAAATCGAAAAATGTACATCCTTTAAGAAAACCTATACTTTAACCTTAACTTTATTCTCGAACCTTTCCAGTAATTCAAGTTCATCAAACCAAATGCGGATCCAATCCTCTCTACAAGACCAACACGCCTGACGTTCTCTTCCGCTTTTGAATTGAATGATAACCAGTAAATCATGCCATGGACATACTTTTACTTCAAACCCTTCAGCTCTAAACGTTGTTTGAACAACATCTCAATTATAACTATTCTTAATTTTCCCAACCAAACTGCAACCAATCCACGCTAAATCTTGCTTAGGAATGATAATATTTCCACTATCTACATCAGCCTTAGAATAAGAATTCATCATTTTTCCATCAGCTACACTAACATGGATCACCGCATCAGAAGAACCTTCTTTCATAGACTGTTTCCACCCTTCTATTCCACAACTTTTTCCATCAGTCGTCTTTATCCCTCCCAACACTTCCTTGAATGATCTGGAATCTCTAATGGTTGGTTTCCAAACTTTCTTAACATTGTTAACTGGACCCCCCCTCTAATAATAACTATCAACCGCTTTGTCGTGAAAAACCCTAATCTTAAAGTCATCCAATATCCTACCATCCGCTCTAAGCACCGCCGTGTTTGCTTCTGATTTCTTACTATATCTAACGAATGCAAAAGTGGATCTCGCATCTAATCTTTTTCTACTCTTATATGCGATGAAAACATCTTGGACATCACCATAAACCTGAAACACTTCCTTAAGAGTTGGAACATGTATCCTTTTGCTAACATTACTAACAAAGACCGACACCATTCTTCTCTATATTACGTTCTTAACATAATTATCTGAGAAAAATGATTAATTATTTGACAATTACCAAGCTTGTCAACATAAAATTAGAAGAATATATATAGAACAGAAAAAATAGAAAAAAAAACTGAGATTTTTTAGTCTATCTAAAAAAAATAAGAAATCATATAAGTATAATCCTTAGTGTATCGATTAAAGAAAATATTGTGTGTATGAAATATTTATTCGAAGAATAGACTTAATTCATCTATTTAATTTTTTTTCCGTTATACTCAAAAAGAGGAGATTTTATGATCCACGAATTACTCCTAAATAAATTAAAACAATTATTTTTATGAATTATAATATTTCATGATTCATTTAAACATCGACTTGACACCATTAACATAGTTGAGGCCAAACCATTTGAAGTTCAGATGTAATATGGTGCTCTTTCTATTAATATTTACTACATACATAAAATTATTTAAAATAAAATGTTTTTTTTTAGAAAAATGTTCGTGTTGGAAAAATAATTTGAACTCCATTTTTCAATTTGAAACGATGATCTATGCATAAAGGGATACAAATGTTTTTGAATTTGAAGAAAAAAATGATTTTTCCAATAAATTATAATAAATTACAATTCGATATTATACAATTCTAAGTACAGTTAGAAATTCTAGATTATATGTAAATTTAGTATTTATTATTCATTTATTGATCCTTTCATCTTTTTTATATATTTTTTTATTTTGGTAAGAGAATATTCAAGTCTTGAATTGGTTATTATTTTTTATATTTTGGAATATAAGTAGAGAAGACAGGATGCCTGGGAATCGAATTAGCAGGGTGGATGCACTAAACTCTCTAAGGGTCAAGCATGTCTCATTAAAATGTGAAATTTAGTTTCATATATTAAAAAAAATAGAAAAAAGAAAATTTTACATACTCATTATTTTTAAAAAATGAATATTAAAATTTTAAACTTCTATTTTTAAATTTCTAGATCCGTCATAACGAATTAACTCAACGTTTAGACACTAGATTAGACATGTCGCTTGTGTTAGTTTTATCAAATTTATATTTAATAGTATATATTAAATTTAACTCAACATTTATTATTTATACGTTAAAAACATTTATTATTTATTTTATTAATTCTTTCTCCCTCAATAAAATAAATTAAAAACGAGACAATGATTTCTCAACTAAGGGGCTGTTTGTTTGCCTCTTAATGGAATCATTCAGCGCTGAATGTTGAATCGTTCAGCATTCAGCGCGTTTGTTTCGCACCTCTGAATGATTCAACAAAACAGTGCTGAATGATTCAACACAAAAGTACATTCTGAATGATTCAGAGCCATTATCAAACAACATGTCACATTCAGAGCTAATTCATACAGAACCTCTGAATCATTCAATATTTAAATTATTTAGCGCTTAATCATTCTGAAGTAAACAAACAACCCTTGAGATGAGAGTTACCTTTCGCCAGGTTTAATTTTGGCTCTTGGTTTGAAATAAGGATTTAATTGAAATAATTTAGCTTAGGGAAAAGGAATACTAGATTTGAATGCTCAAGAAAAAGAAATATAATATTACTAAGAAGACAAATAAAATAGAACCGGGCACAGTAGCAATTCAAATGAAAATTTGTCAAGGGCAGAAGGGTCTGGTAGAGCGAGCCTTGTGACTAGGAATGTTGAAATGCCTGAGCCTTCCTTGCTGTTCCCTCAGGTATCCTTCACAAAGAAAAGCTTTGGAGACGTTATCCTCCACCACCCTGTCCACGTCGTGCACGAACACATCAGTCTCCCGTTCTTCTCCGTTCCTAGCCATCAAACCAGCCGCATAGATGGCGTTCATTCTCACGGGAGCTTCATTGTGGAACCCGGTGGGGGCATCCACCATTATCACATCCCATTCCACCTCGTAAATCTCATTCGGGAACCCTTTGAGAGCAAGCTCGCACTTGGAGAATCTAGGGTCACCCACCACTTTGCATTCCTCCTTCATTCCCCTCTCCATCAGGCCATCCGCTTCCCGGACTTTGGTCGCGTATTCCACGTGGTGTGATTCCAGACTCGGGAGTTCCCCCTTGATCTGCTCGATCCACGCCTTGTCTTCTTCGAGGAAAACGGTGCGACCGCCGTGGTTCAGAGATGTCCACATCAGACTGTCGTGGCCCAACCCGAACACCAAGAAGTTGCAAGGCGATTTCTTCTCCAGAACCCTGGACGAGACCGAGATTTCCTTGAATGTCTGTTGCGGGGTGATGTTTGTCGTGGCGTAGTGGATGAGGGCGTTGGCTAGAGATGGTGGGGTTTTGGTGCATGTCGTCGGGGTCAAGGGAAGAGATGGGCAGGCCACCGGCGGCTCGTCGACTGAATTTGTTGCGTTTGCGATGTGGGACTCCGAAAGCGGCGAGGGTTGTGGTTTGGAAAATGAAGAGCTTGTCGTGATGACGAGGAAGACGAAGAGGAGAACGGAAGCACATATGAGGATGAGCTTGGTGTTGAATGGAGATTGAGATTTGGAGTTGGACGGCCTCATTGTTGTTGCCTTCAACTCGATTCCTTTTTCCTCTTCGCAGTGGAATAGAAAAGTGAGTTTGGTGGGTGCTACAATATAGTATTCTCTGTGTATTTCTTATCTTTCATTCGCGTTGTTTATTAACTTGACAGATAAACTGTGCATAGGCCTATATGCATTATTAACAAATTAAATACAACACAATAATTAAAATACTCAATTATAATCTCTATTAACTATAACAGTTAATTGTTTTAATTATACATTTATTATAAACACATCGCATAAAGTAATATGGAGAGCATATATAAATAGAAAATTACTACAATAATATGGGTACATACAATTTCAATTTAGATCTTAGGGGTTGTTTGGTTCAAGGATTGTGTGATTCTCATTGGGATGGGAATCCCACATTCACATGTTTGGTTGGTCAGGAATCTCATTCTCGGTAATGTTTTATTATCAATAGTAGATTTTTTGGGGTATATTACCGGGAATGTCATTACCTCCATTCCCTTAGATATTGTAATATTACCGGCATTTTGGACTAAAATGCCCTTAAATTTTTATTTTTTTTTCAAAAATATCATTCTTCTGTCATTGAATAATAAAAATTCTATGAAGGTTAAATTACAAATTGATCCTTAAATTATTTTATATTTACAAAAAATCTATAATTAAAATTTTATATGAAGTTCAGAGGTTAAAAAAATTCTACCCTTTCATGAAACTTTTTTTATATTTTTAATTTTGTAAAAAAAAATATAAATATTATGAATTTAATTTTTTAAAGAAAATATATAAATATTTTACAATTTATAATATTATACAAATATATAATAAGGGCAATTTGGTCAAATATACATTCCAATAATCTTTTATTCCTTTAACCAAATACGGTAATCTTACATTCCTGCTAAATCAACCAAACACAAAATAGAACATTCCCAGTAATCCTATTATCAGATAATCTTTTATTCTCACTGATAATCTTACATTCCGTGAACTAAAAATACATTTAGAGTAAAAGTAAAGGAGGTTGGTCATGATGATTGATGGGAATTTGGGGGCCTGTGATGTTGATAGGAAATTTACTGAGGCTCTTGTTGTCGTCGGGTACAATTAAAAATAACTTTTCTTTGTTGAGAAAAATAAGTCGTTTTCAAATTAATTATAATATTTAAAGTCATATGTTAAAATAAATTAACACTCTTTCAAATAAGAGTTTAGACAGATACAGATCGAAATATAAAAAATACAAATTTTAAATAAAAAATTAAAGATATTTTTAATACTCTACAACAACAACAACAACAATAAAACTCAATTCTCATATGTATGGGGTAAGGGGGAGGTAGGGTAGTAGGCTGCCCCCAACTCCAGGTTGAGAATAGCTTCCGTGGTATACTTCCGACAGTCAGAAAATTAAAAATATAGATAAAATTCAATGCATGTATAAATAATTACATAAATACATAGCTAAATAGTATTCATATGCAGTCATTAATATCATATGTGCTTCTGTAATGGGGAGTAATCCCTACAAAATAATCCTTGCGAAAGAATCTCTGGATATAGACAGAAACATAAGACCTAGCTAAATTTAACAGAGGAAACATGACGAGAATGATACACAGAAGTCAACGATAGCAAGCCCAGTTCTAATCTTTCATAAATACCAATAACAGAAAAGTATAAGAAGTAAAAGTCATGGAAATTACTACAAATGCATTAAAAGAAGACAGAGATGATACACCCTATAGATGTGACCCACACTACTCGACTACCCTAGTCACAAGCCTCCATAATTTCCTATCATAGGTCATGTCTTCGGTAAGGCCTAAATCCATCAAATCAGATCTCAAGCAGTCTTCCTACTTCCGCCTTGGTCGTCCTTTCCTTCTGGCACCGTCGACTGTAATCGACTCTACCCTCCTGACCGCATCCGACGGTAGTCGCCTAAGGACATGCCCAAACCACCGTAGTCTTCCCTCCCTCAATTTTTCGGAAACAGACACCACCCCCAAGGACATCCTAATAACAGAGTTTGTCGTCATATCCCACAGAGTCCTACCACATGTCCATCGAAGCATTCTCATTTATGCGGCCTCTATCCTCCTTACGTGATCCTTCTTGGTTGCCCAACATTCTGATCCATACAACAGCGCTGGTCTTATTGCCATTCTATAAAATTTTCCCTTAAGTTTTAGAGGAACCTTCTTGTCACACAAAACTCCAGTAGCGGCCCTCCACTTTAGCCATCCCGCCTTTATACGGTGTGTAACGTCATCATCTACACCCCCATCTTTATGTATCATAGACCCTAAGTACTTGAAACAATCCTTTGAGGGAAGAACGTGTCCTTCTATGCATACTTCTACATCTTCATCGTTTTGGTTCCCATTGAAGTTTGAACATAAATACTCTGTCTTTTCAATATTGATCCTTAAACCTTTTTCTTCCAAAGCAGTCTTCCAGGTAGCCAGTCTACTATTCAACTCAGATTTTGTTTCAGCAACTAGGACAATGTCGTCAGCGAAAAGCATACACCAAGGTACACCGTCTGGTGTCGTACAATAGATGTCGTCCATAATCAAGGCGAAGATGTAAGGGCTAAGAGCCGACCCCTGGTGGAGTCCGATTTCCACCGGGAATGCCTCGGTGTCGCCAATTGTAGTCCTGACGTAAGTAGTAGATCTACAGTACATATCACGAATCGCCCGGATATAAGCAGTTGGGATCCGTCTCGTTTCCAAAGTCTTCCAGATCGTATCGCGAGGAACGCTATCATAAGCCTTCTCAAGGTCAATGAACGCCATGTGAAGATCTCTCGACTTTTCCCTATATTTCTCCATAAGCCTTCGAAGTAGATGAATCACCTCAGTGGTAGACCTGCTTGGCATAAAGCCAAATTGGTTTTTCGAAACCCTAGTAACTTGTCTCAACCTAGCCTCTATCACCCTTTCCCATAGCTTCATGGTATGGCTGAGTAGTTTAATACCTCTGTAGTTACCGCAACGTTGGGGATCTCCTTTATTTTTATAAATTGATATCACCGTAGACTCTCTCCACTCCTTTGGCATCTTGGCAGTCTCTAAAATAATATTAAAGATGTTAGTCAACCACTTAACTCCCTCTTCTCCTAGGGCTAACCACACAGTGATAGGAATTTAATCAGGACCGACAGCTTTCTCCCTTCCCATCTTTCTAAGAGCCATTTTGACTTCCTCAAACCCAATCCTACTTGTAGGGCAGTCATTGGCCGTAGTATGATGGTCGGCTGACCTATCAACGATACTATCTCTATATGGAGAGGTACCTTCATTAAATAAGCCAAAGAAGTAACTACCCCAAACCCTCTTAATATCATGATCTTTCGTTAAAAGAACACCATTGTTGTCCTTAATAAACCTAATGTTACCTAGATCCTTTTTCCTAATCTCCCTAGATTTTGCAAGTCTGAAGATGCCATTTTGTCCTTCCTTGGTGTCTAATCTCTTGTACATTACCTCATATGCCTTATCCTTTGCTTTAGCTACCATTTTCTTGGCTTCCCGCTTTGCCTCCTGATATATTTGTTTAGCTCTCGACCTTTCTTCATCATCATTGCATTGTAGAAACTCCTTGAAGCAAGTTTGTTTTGTCTTCACCTTAGTTTGGACTTCGTCGTTCCACCACTACGATTCTTTATGTTCTTTGGCCTTCCCCGTCGACAACCCAAGGGTGTTTTTGCCCACCTCTCTGATGGAATTTTCCATATGTTTCCATAACATATCTGCGTTATTTGAGTTTGTAGATTCAAAACCTGTAGTAGACAAAAGCTTACTCCTAAAGTCATCAGTTGTCGCTCCATGTAAGTTCTTTCAGAGGATCCTAGGTTTACCCAGTTTAGCCCTCCTATGAGTGTTCCGCCCGTTGGGTACGCGGAACACCAAAACCAACAATTTGTGTTGTGATGCACATGCCTCTTCAGGGAACACCTTACAGTCAATGCAAGCCCATCGTTCCCGATTTCTAACCAAGATGTAGTCGATTTGGGTACAATGTCCCCCGCTATGAAACGTAATCAAGTTCGCATCTCTCTTATTAAATAAGGAGTTAGTGATCACCAAATCGTGAGCAGTAGCAAAATCAAGCAACGTACGCCCCTCATCGTTCCTGCTACCATAACCGAAACCCCCATGAACACCGTCATACCCGTCGGTTGCACTACCTATATGACCATTGAAGTATCTCCCTATGAAAACTCTTTGGTCCTCCAGAATGCTCCTAAGTACATCATCTAACTGATCCCAAAAGCAACGTTTTTCCCCCTCCCCTAGGCCAACGTGTGGGGCATACACTGAAAGGACATTTACCACTTCCGCTTCTATAACAACCTTAATCATCATGATTCTATCTCTGTATCTACAAACTTCAACTACATTTTCCTTGAGCTTAGAGGATACCAAGATACCCACCCCATTTCTAGCGTTATCTATACCTGAATACCACAACTTGTACCCATTTCACTGTCTAGCGCGAGCCCCTTTCCACCTAGTCTCCTGAATACATGCAAAATCTATTTTCCTATTACTAAGTACGTCGGTCAGCTCCAGCAGCCTAGCATTTAATGTGCCTACATTCAACGAACAAACTCTAAGTCTAGTGTCCTTGACACCACTCTGTCGAGCCCTCCCACTATACGTCCTATGGGATCTAAAAGAATGACATGACCTCAAGTAATCATCTATAGCCGAAGCTATGAGGAACTATGAAAAAAGAATCCAAAGAAAAAAAAAAGATGCACCAAATAAAACGCTAGAAATATAAGATACTAGGAGTCTAGGACAATGAAAAAATACAGATCCAATAAATCCTACTCAAAAGAAAAGTACAAAAATATAGATCTAGTAGATCTTACTCAAAGCAAAACTATTTTTCAAGTAAATAACAAAATTCTATAGAAGTTTAATTTTTTTTTTTTAGGTTCCACTTCCTTACCTCTAACAGGAAAGAATAATAATGAAGAGAGAATTACTTAAAAACCAGAAACAAATCATATAAAG